TATAGATTACCAGAAAGCTTTCGATTGTGTTAATCATTCAGAATTAGTAAAATTGATCCAGGAATGTTCGATAGATGAGAATGATCTTAAAATCATAAAGAACCTTTATATGAGTCAAGTGGCATGTGTGAGAGTAGGACTTTGAAATGTGGGTATTTAGAAGACTTCTTAAAATTCCTTAAACAGATCACACAACAAATGTCGAAGTATTAAATCGAATGAGCAGAGAACGAGAATTGCTGCCAATAATAAAAAGAAGAAAAACTGCTTATCTGAGTCATATATTTCGAAATTCCAAGTACCAGTTCTTAAAGCTTATTATGGAAGAAAAGATAGAAGGAAAACGGGGCATCGGAAGAAAGAAATACTCATGGCTTAAAATCATAAGGGGTTTGACAAATCTTGATGCCCATGCACTCTTTAGAACCACACATGATCGATAGGAGTATGCCAAAATTGTCGCCAACATCCACTAATTGGATAGGGCCACATAGGAAGAAAACCACGTTTGATTCCCTTAATCTCTGACCCGCAGAAATATGTAACAATATTATCTTCGAAAACATTATATAATGTATTTATACTATTCAAATTCCTAGTAATTATTAATGTACCCATTATATGAGCAATGTTTTATATCGTTTTTATTGTGGATCAGTTTCTTAGTACAATTATTTAAAATATATTATCCATTTCGGCCTTCCATTTTGTTATCTTTCCTGATTCTGAACTGTTTCTTTCATTACAACCAGTGTCTGATCGAGCATTGTTAAGCCTCACACCACTTTGCTAATAATGTGAGTCAAGTGTTTAGGTACACCCATTGTCGTCAATATGTTCCATAGTTTGTCCCATCTAACATTATCAAATACCTTTGTATAATCAATAAAACATAATATCGGGATCTGATATTCTCTGGCTTTTTCTATGCTATTTCTTAAATTAAGGAATTAGTAGTCTATAGGTGTTACAATTATTTGATGGACCTTTTTTATGTAGAGATATGATTATGGTATTTCTCCAATTCTCAGGCCAGACGCCTATGTGCAAAATTTCATTACACAATCGATGTAATATTCTCACTCCACATACCGGAAGATGCTTCAAGACATTAGCAGTAATGAGATCATAGCCTGTTAATTTGTTTAAGTATTTTAAGAGAGCAAAGTCCAGTTTGGAGGGTCTAGGACAATTCGCCGTCGCCAATTCGCCGTCGCCGATTCACCGTCGCCCATTCACCGTAGGGACAATTCACCGTTCGCCGATTCGCCGTCGCCGATTCGCCGTCAGAATTTTAATTTTTAGAATGTTTATTATTAACACTTGATTATAAATAGAAGATTTTAGACAATAAATTATTTTATAGTAAGTACCAATTAATGGTGTGTTGATGTTTAAATTTTTATTAGGAATAAAATATTTAACAAGAATTAGAAAACAATTAGGGTGGTTGATCTTCTAATGTGGGTTAAAATAGTTGTTGTTTATTTAATGACCATTAATAACCAGTGAATAATGATTCAAGGATTTAATTTTTTGTTTAAATTATTGTTGAAATAAAAAATGTTTAACAAAAAATTAGGCAATCATTTTTTTTTCGTAAGTACCCATTTATTGAGGGTTGGTGTTTAACGAAAACTTAATTCATATAATTTTATGTTTAATTAAATATTTTTGCTAAATAAATGAAACAAAGCATCCATTGTTTTATGTTTTGTTTTATTAAAAAATTAATTTATTCCTAATAAAAATAAAACACCAACTCAATAAACATTAATAAATAGGTACTTACCATAAAATAATGCGTTGCCAAAAATCTTATTTTTATAACCAAATGTTATTAATAAACATGCTCAAAATTAAATTTCTGACGGCGAATCGGCGACGGCGAATCGGCTGCCGGTGAATTGTCCCTACGGTGAATGGGCGACGGTGAATCGGCGACGGCGAATTGGCGACGGCGAATTGTCCCATTCCCCAGTTTGGAAAAAGTATGTCAGGTTCAGATTCAAAGCTAGTGTGGTATGTCCCTGTTGAAAGAGAGTGGAAAGTGGGGGCCTGACATTCAGGTACCTACGGGGTGTCTGAGGGCACCTGCTCCATATCGGCGTATAAAAGACCTACAATACGTAAATTGGCTTCATCATCTTTGATAGATCAAGATTTCTGCTTAAATTTACGTGTGCGTAGTCTGACTTTATCAAAGAGTTCTTTGGTGTTATTTGGGGCGGCATGTTGTTGAATCTCACTATTTTCTGCATATGCATTTTCTTGTCTCGTCTACAAGCAGCCTGAATAGATCGTAGAACCCGGATTATCCGTGCTCCTTTAATTGATAACGTCCTATCATTTTCTTTGCCTTGACCTCATTTTCGGATGAATCAGGTTATGACGCACCGGGCTGATTCAAAACTAGATCGACAATATCGTCCTTGCTGAGCAGATAATAACCTAGCTCATCTTTGTCACAGTGTGTTCACACGTCTATGGTTCATCTATTTCTTCAAAATCATCGGCGTTGCATACTAATGCAGTTAGTTCAACTATGGTAGTTTTTTATCATCATATTCAATGATGCTTTCATCTTCCTCTAGCGTTATTATTTTATAAAAAGCTTTTTTTAAAAGTCTTCTCTTTCACTTCATTCCATGCATATGTCACTGTAAAAATTGAATATTTTATGATAAACGATCTCATCTAACAATTTCATTATAAATTCTTTTTGGTAGAGACGTTTCATTGTCTGAGTAACACTCTAATCCACTGGTTATCCATATCAGGGAACCACCAATTGATTTAACATTGGTTGAAAAAAAAAAAGAAATTTTTATTGCCAGCATTATCCTTTGTGGTAACTTTTTCCTTCTTCAAATAAACTTTCTATTGAACGAATTTTGGAAGATGCCACAAGGTGTCCAGGCAGCTTGGATTTTTTTTATTTTTTAATATCAGCCAACTTGTGTCTATGGCTGCCAGACGTATTGTCACAACATAACAGTGTTATCCGGTCTTTACCTTTTTCATACTCCGGTTACACTAATTTTTCTTTATTTACTATCTTATCTAATTACTTGCAACTGACCCTTTTCACCCTTTTAATTTCTGTTTAGTTTTTGTTCACTCATTAAAACATTTCTCTTGCGTTTAACACTGGTTTTTCCATTTTAAAAACAAAGACACGTGTTAACAACATAGCATAGTAATGATAGGAAACCATAGCATGGATAATAAGTAGCCCATATAACCTTCGCACGGATAACCGGGGTTGTACTGTATAGCCTTAAAAACAATTTTTGTTTTTAGTTTCTTTCGATAGTTCTTTCTTGTTGATGATTGTTCTTCCTATTCCCTGGTATAATTTATTGGCTTAATCTATTATTTTATTTATTTGTACTTCTTTTCTACCAGTTTCTTCAGTTGTCACTCCTAAGTATTCAAACGTTTTCACCTGTTTAATATCTGTTTATTCAATCTGGACTTATATATCCACTCGATCTTTGGCTATGACCATCACTTTTGATTTCTCCTTGTACAGGTTCATACCTAGTTTGTTTAAAGCTTTGTTCCATATTATTACACTCCTTTGACTCTTTTTTGTAGGTTTCGATACCCTATATATGCAGTGGCTTAGTATTTGTTTTTTTTATCATATCCATTTTTATCATATCCATAAATTCAGGACTTAAACTTCCCCCTATCTTACACCACTATCGTCGTGAACTCTTCTGATTTCATATTTTTTACTTATTACGCGATTTTTGATGTTGGGGTTGGCTGTATACCATAAGGGGTAAATTTTGAAAAATTGATTCATATAATTTTATTTATAAGTCGCAACGTCGAGTTTATTATCGTTAATTAATTATAATAACAACATGGACAATATCTCGATGTTTCGAACTAGTAATCTATCTATAAAAGAAGTGTGCAAAATTTGAGAAGGGTCGATGAAGTAGTTTTTGAGATACAATGAAGACCGACTTGAAAAACATTATTTCGAGTAAAACGCGTTTAAAAAAAGCTTATTTTTCTTATCTAGAGCATCTTTTTGCACCTGCTGTCGACGAACTCTGCCTTTTTTTGTTGCATCTGCAGCCATTTTATCCGCTCTAGTAATTCGGTTGTTACATGCCGCGAGTGCATAAGTATACAAAGATGATGCTGTACTTACTCCAATTTCTATGTAAGTGTTCACACACTTCACTTACTCAAATCCCTCACTCACAAAGCTCACTCATCTCACTCACTCACCTCATTCACTTCAATCACCCCACTCACCTCACTCACTCATCTCACTCACTTAACTCACTCACTCACAAATGCCTATAACTCCATCAATTTTGTTCCGATCACTTGGACCAATTTTGACTGGATATTCTTGAAGAGTTATAATATCGAATGAAAAATTAAAAAAAAAACGCAAAATGAAACCCTACCCCCTTAAATTATATTGTTTGAGCAACTAACATTATATTAAGACACTAGGTCGATGATAAAAGATTACATGTTTTAAAGCAATTTCCCTTTCGAAAAAGGGAACCTTATGCCCTGAGGTAGGCCCACCAATTCAAGAGAGGCATAAGGTTCTCTTTTTCGAGCTGAGAAATTGTATGTTCCTTTAAAAAATGTAATCCTATCATCGACCTAAGTGTCTTAATAATTATAATGTTAGTTAATCAAATTATGTAATTTAAGAGTCATCTGACCTCGTTATGTGGCATGTGGCTAGGCTAAGTTTAATAATAAAATTGTATACAATTTTACAAAAACAAGTTTTTACTTCATTGGAAGTTTGATTTAATAAGTCTTCGTCCTATCGTTTTATCTGGTATATATCTCTTTTTCAAACTTTAACCTTCCTCAAATGCTTTTTCCATATCTAGAAAAGCTAGATATGTCTTTTACCCTCGCGATTGCCTTTTGTTGATATTATTTAGAAAAAATAATTTTAATACATTGTGCAATAAATGCTATTCTTATTGTTTTTTTTTAATTTTTAGTAATTACATTAGAGGATCCAAAGTACGGCTGCTAATTAAAGATTTGGAGTTATCTTCAAAGTTCTTAGGATTTGAAAAGGATTTAACGTTATTGGAGGCTGATTGTCATATACTAGGACTCATACAAGAAAGAAGCTTAAATCTACAAGATAACAAAAACTAACAGTAGAGATTCGTTTTAATAATTTATTTAATAAAAAAATGTTTTGTTAGAGATGTTTCATTACCATTTTATTATATTTTAAAGCAGTTTATATTCGAAGATGTATTGATATAGAATTTTTCATATAAAAATGATTGCACGTCATTCAAGATTTACGACGTCAGAACCCTACAGCGTTGTTTTGTTGTTCAAACTGTTAAATTAACAGTAAATATACTTAGTTTTAAGACTACTGCAACTCACTAAAATACATAAGAAAACGTTTTAATAAAAAAATATATATTCTAAATTTTAAACTTACTAGAACATTAATAGTAAAAACGTCCCACCATTATTTCTTGTTCAAAATAATCTATCTTATATGAAAGTTTATCAACGTTCTACAGACTATTTAGTTGTTGTGGCATAGCACAATCACAATACACAACAATAATTAGTTTTTAAAGCTATTAATCTAAATTTAATATGTATTTATAAATACAATTTATTAATTTATAATATATTATGATCAAATTGTGAAAGAAATCAAAACAAAAAAATTTCTTACTCTAAACAAGCGGCAACACTTTAAACAATTTTGCCACATGCTGAACTATCATTAAAATTTGAAGTATTCCCGTATCAGTTGCGTACAATTGTCTGATCTATTTAATTAAAATTATTATTTGGTGGAATATTAGACTTGAAGAATTATTTCAGAAAATTTATATTCTTAGTGCTAACAAATGTTTTTGGTTATTTAATCAATATAATTCTAAAATTCACAATATAATCATGATTACATTTTTTTGGTTATTATACCATGTTGACGCCTATGAAACATCGAGCCGTTCCGTATGGGTTTTGTATTATTAGCTGTGTTAGGAAAATTTGAACTCTAAGGTTGATGTTCTGGAAATTTTAAATATAAGTGACGTCACTTTATATAAATTGTGACGTGCAACGTTTTTACTTTGAAAAATGGTATATAATAGTTAGTCTGTATAAAGAAAATATTATATTACCAAATTGCATGTTGCTATTCAAAAAATTTGGAATTTAAGATTCGAATTACTTGAATACCTCCCTTATTCACCAGATCAGGCTCCGCCCGACTATCATGTCTTCAACTGAAAAATAAGTCTCAAAGATATTAAAGTTTCTTCCAAAGAAGAGATGACAGAAGCTTTGGAAGCCTGGTATACAGCAAGATAATTATTTAGAGCTCTAAAAACGTTGCTGGTCAGTTGTAATAAATATATCCAATTAAGACGAGAGTATTTTAAATAATGCTAAAACAGTATGACTTTAAAATTTTGTTTGCTTCTATAGCAGGCTAAGAATTTTTCAATACATCCTCGTATATATTTTTTTCTTATTTCAAATGTGTCTCGGGAACAAAGGCTATTGCTACGGTTAGAAAATTACTGCAAATCTACAGTAACCAGTACATTTTTTTATAATTGATGTTGAGTTGTTTTATTTTATTTTTGACATGGGCCTCGTGTCAGATGGTGTAGAGTATTATTTAAATGAACGTATCATCACGCATCGTTAAAAGAATGTATCATCAAATAATATATTGGTTTACTGTAAATTTATCAAATGTTTATTAAAATAAACATTGAATAATAGTAAAATGATATCCATGTTACGAAAATTATCGTGTGGTAGTTTTATTATTTTAAGTCTCATTGGCAAAACTATACTAGTGTGTGATTTTTGTTTAACGCATTCGATTATATCTTTCCAAAATTAAAATAAATTAATTAAATTAAAAGAAACTAAATAAATAACTGCGTTTGACTAATATGTATTTTATAGGGAGTAAAGATGACACAAAGTAACAAGATAGGCAAGAGCAAGCAAATTGGAACAGCATGGAATGCAAAAAAAGAAGTGAAGGACAAGAAGGAAACAGAAGATTGGTTAAACCTTCAAAAAAGTGCAGAATATTGCATTCCAATGAAATATGAACTTGCCTGTCTTGGTTTTGGGGTGAAGTGAGTAGCTCTACTCCCGATGTATCCGGTCCTATGTCCCGATAAAAGAGGAGGGATAGTGGAATAACATCTCTCAAAAACCAGGGTTCATCTGGTCTGGCTGATAGCCTCCTATAAGAACTTCTTGTCTAGAGTTACAGATAAAGACCACGAGAGCATTTTTCTTCTTCTTTCTTTTTAGAAGCAATTCTACTTGTTCATTGGCGGAATAATGTCACTCCATCTTTTACGCGGTCGACACTTCTTCTGCCGATTGGTGATTTATCCCTTGCTATTTTGACGATACGGGTCTTCTCTCATTCTGCTTATGTGCTTATTCCATTCTTTTTTTTTCTATTTAGTGTTCATTCGTTTATACACTGTACGTTACATTTTCTTCTAATGTCTTCACTTCTCTTTCGATCTTTCAGCGTATTTCCTGTTATTCTTCTCAGTACTCTGATCTCTGCTGTTTCCAGTAGTTTTTGTGTTGTGGCTGTGTTGAGTCTTGTTTCTGAGGCATATGTTATTATTGGTCTTACACTGGCTTTACAAATTTTTGACTTCATCTCAGTGTTATTGTGTTTGTTTTGCCATATAGTGTTATTGACCTTGTTGCCAGTTTATTTGCTGTTTTTTACTTCTGTATTTTTAACTATGGTAGTTTTAAACTTGTAAGTTTTTTAACTATGGTATACTGCCAACTACTGGGATTTTCCCATTATTTTTTATTTTTTTAGAGTATTTGTACTTCTGTTTTCTATTCTGTATCCTCTTCCTTTGTTAACGCTTTAAACCCTTCCATTTGGGTTGGCTGACCCTGAGCAGTAGTCTCTATGTGGGCCCTAGGTAACAATTGGTATGGCATTTGATATGGTTCAACGTAAAAAGCTCGTAGATACTCATATATTAAAAAGTCAAAATAATGATAGTCGTAATATAAAAATTATATCTAATGTACATTGGAATCAAATTGCCAAGGTAAGAGTTGACAACCGGAACGCCCGAGATATCAAAATACAGAAAGGAGTCCGCCAGGGTTGCGTGCTGTCCCCACTACTTTTCAATGTCTACAGTGAAGCGGTAGTTAAAGAAGCGCTCTCAAATTCAATAGAGGATAAATCAATGGAGAAATTTTTAATATTCACTAGGAAACTAAGTTCCTGTAGCTGGCTGTATACCATGTATTACATTTTTCTTATTTAAAATTCTTTATAAAAGGTATATAATATACCTTTTATAAGGATTTTAAATAAATTTTTTTTGAATTTTTAATAACTTACGTTTTGCAGACGATACAATAATAATGACGGAATGATTTACAGAACGTTATACAATGCCTTAACGAATGCTGTCATGAATACGGACTGAGTATGAATGTGAAGAAACTAAATGCATGATCATGACTAAATCAGCAGATGCAAACATCTAATTGATTAGGTATTGAAGATACTATAAGTAAGAGTGTGGAAACTTACAAATACTTGGAAACATGGATAATAGCAAATGTAGACCATACCAATGAAATTAAGATTAAAGTACTTGTTGTAAAGAAGTACTTATTAAAATAGCACTTGGGTGATACGTGCTCTCTACTCTGCTTTATGGATTAAAAGTATAGACACTAAAACAAGTGTATATTAATAAGTTGGTCGCCTTTTGAATTTTGGTATTACATAAGAATCATACGAATATCATGGATTTAAAGAGTATCAAACGTGGAACTAACTAGAAGGATTGGAAATTAAGCGGAAATAATATTTAAACATTTTTAACATAACTAAAACTTATGCAAGGTAAAATCAAAAAAAGCGCGAGAACACGAAGAATATCGTGGCTTAAGAGATTGAGAAATGGGTTTAAATGCAGTAGTGCAAAACTATTTAGAGCGGCGGACAACAGAATCCGCATAGCCATAATGATTTCCAACCTTCTATAGAAGATGCAATTTGAAGAAGAAGAAGAATGAAAGATGAACAAAAGGATTATTATCTAACCTTTTCGGTCCTACTGGTCGAAACTACCAACCCGTTTTTTATTAGATCACTACAAGTGCCATTACCATTACAAATTGCTACAAAACAATGCTTTGGAGAACTATGATATTAAAGCTGATTGTGAATATTGGCCTTGCGATGATGTATCTAGCTATTCTCTTTGGTAAAGAGAGCTGAAAAGAGCAGAAACAGCTGCAACTAAAAGTACTAAAAACAGAAAAAGGTTAATAGGAAATGAAGATCAATAACTGTCCTATAAGCACGAATATAATGGTGAATAATATGATGCTTCGAAAATTAAGAGTTCGTTAGATTATTCTGCATTTCGAATTATGTTTCTATTGAACCAAATAATTTTTCTATGTTAAAAATGATATTTCCTAAATAGTTATCCGTACTCATCAATGTTTTAACCAACGATATATCGTTGGTTTTAACCATAGGCATATAGTATAAGATATACTGATCGTTGCAATACCAACTCGTTCACCCAGTGCGACAGAGAAAACTAACGCAAAGCAATCCCTGCATTTCTTTCTAATTTGCCAGGTTTGTCGACCACATTACCTAAATGACCAATGAGAAGGACACGTGGTTGATAATCCCGGCCCATTAGACAGATATGTAGAGACTTTTCGTAAGATTTCTCTGCGCACTGCGAAACGCGACTGTATTGCAACAGTCAGTCTATCTTGTATTATACGTTTATGGTTTTAACTTATAAATCAGTAAAAGCCCCTACCACGTGAGTATTTTGTGTTGCCTACATTCGGCATATGCAATTTAACGAAAGAACTATATAAATGGTGATCGACCAGCTATAATTAGATTTGATAATAAAAAAATGGGCGTTGTCGATAAAACGATTCTTTGATTGATCATCATCGTCCTCGACCCTACAAAATGTGGTGGGTTTTGACCTCTTTCAAAATTCGACTCCAGTCTTCTTCGACGCGTCTCTTCGCCTACTGGCTTGCAGCACTCACAAATCTTCATCTACGTCCTTCAGCTATTGCTACATTGTTCTTTCTCTTCTAATATC